TTTTTTCTAAATACTTTTCATATGTATGCAGTGCTGCAGAAACTGTGCACCCCACCCCTCCTTTCTTCTCAAACATGTTTGCACTGAGTAGGAGATGCTCTGTATGTCATTGTACATCTGTATAGTGACAATAAAGGCATTCTGTTCTAGTCTATTCAGTGATGAAATACAGTGATCTACAATAAAGACTGATTTCTGTGCAAGTAACTAAATAACATGACCTTATTTTTCATATGTAGTATGTCAGCATCAATTATCTGATCATTTGATTTTTAGAGAAAGACTGCAAGTCACGTCAGATGTTGCCCGTCCAAATCTTTATATATTTGAATATACATAGTATTAAGAGTCAATATACATCTTGTTACTACAAATGCTTTACATATTTTATTATCAACTTAATACTAAAGTGGTTTTGCAATTTAAAAATTGATCAGGAGATGTAAACTTGAAAGTTTCCTAACAACAGAAAAAAAATAGTTTAAGATGGGAATTATTCAAATGTCAAATATTTATTTTTAATTGTAATTCATTTCTATTTTAACAGAATATCCTTTCTGCACCGAAAACTATACATTCGGAACCACGTGTAAGTTTTTCTCACGCTTTTCAAAAAGTAAAATGCTGTCACTGTAAATTTAATCTTGACATTTTTTACTGAAAGGCAAAACATTTTGCAGTGCAAACATTCATTTGTACTGCAAAAACACAAGTGTTGACTCAGTGAAATCACTTGACTATGATTCAAAAGTAAAAAGATTCATCAAATTAATACATCAAAGCCTTTCAAGTTAAAGTTCACTTACAGTCAAGATAGTTAAATGTCAAAGAAACAGAGTCAGTACCAAAGTCCCCTGGAATTTCTGTATTTAATTTCTCACTGCGACACAGATGTGCTAGTCATAACTATAAAATAACTAAGATTATACATTTTTAGGTTTTGTTTTATTTATTTTTATATTTATTTTTACTTTTCTGTTTTCAATTCAGTTTAGTTTCAAAAGTCAGTTTGGTTGTTAGTTTTTGTTGTTTTAAAATTTCAACTTTCATCTCATTTTTATTCATTTCAACATTAATATTAGCTCTTATTGTTATGTTGCAGGTGCTGTTTGACATATTAAAAGATTGAAGTTCAGAATGGTACAGCGATACCCGAGGGGTGCCCGAGTCTCAATAGGCATAAGCACTCGCGTCCCCTTGTGCTGGTTATATTGACCAATGTGGCCAAACTTACAAAATACTTAACTAAAATTAACTTCCTTTATATTTTTATTGTATATGATATCGTTTCAATACCTTTTTCTAAAGCAGAGGTTTGCTTTTTATTGCCGGTAACTCTCTTTTTTCCCTCATTCTCCTCAGTAGTATACTTTAATACATTTTCTCAGTAACACAATACTCCAAACAACAATTTGTGTCAATCAGAAACCACCTTGCCTGGGTCATACGTGTGATTTTACAGCTGCTTGGCAGTACTTTCAAAGCTTCACTCTACATCTGTTTTTTCTCCTTCCTCTGTGGCCATCAATGGTGGCCAAACAACCACATGTACTTGCACGAGCTGCTGGTTGCCTACATAAAAAACTGCTTTGTCCTCTGTGGTTTAAAGTTAGTTTAAAAAAATGTGTCGATGACTTAAATCTGTGAGCTGAATACAATCGTATGATGACAAGTGGGACTGAAGTCAGAACTAATCAAGTTTTAAACTCAATTTTTTTGTCAGTTAATGGACAGAAAAATTGAGTTTTGGAAAAAACATAGTTTTCCAATCATAATAATACCAGTTTTATAGTCAAACCACTTGTAAGGGCTTCAATAATCATGAAACAGCTCAGTTTATTTTGCCTGTCAAATATGGACACTACAGAAAGCTATCTGTAAGTAGTAAAAGTGCTGGTTGATGCAGATGTGGACGGGCTTTTTCAGCTTTGCCTGTGTTTTATTTCTGCAGATATCTGATATTAATAACAGTGCTGATAACTTGCCTACAACCAGATCTCAAAGTGTTTACCTCGAGCTCTGCTTCACAAAATAAACTGCGGTCCTTGTCTCTGATGTCTGCTAGAAATTAAAATCTTTTTCTTAAGTGAAACCGCACAGGAGGAGAAGACATCTATTAGTGACAGCAGAGTTTGTCTCACGGTGTGCTCTCAAACCACACTAACCACTTTCTTGCTCAGTTTGTGTCCATCAGCCACTACTTGGAAAGATTTCTGCTATCATAAAAACGTCTTCTCTCATATAAAAAAATGAGAGGTTTTCTTCTTTTAAATGCAAATATTTGCAAGGAAATGAATCAGCCTGTACTGTATGTGGTGTAGATTTGAAGTGACTGTAGATCTTGTGAAGTTATCTTGTGTGATAATTTGCTTTTTTGTTGCTTGACCTCTTTTTCTTATAGAGCAACTTTTATCTCAGGCTAGCAGCTTCTTTTGCATACAGCTGAAGCACAGCTTATCTGCAATCTGTATAGACTGTCGATGATTATCTAAACCTTCACAATGAAAAGAAATAGCACTACCTCTATTTTCTTGTCTTCTTGAGAGCAGGACACATGTGACCGTCAGGATGAACAGGATGAAAGAGGATGCTCCCAACACCACCCATATCCACCAGTTGTCACTCAGGGCAGGAGGGTCTGCGGGAGGAAAAGTTTGCCCTGAAATGTGAACGCATTTAACTTACAAGTAACTCTCAACTTACACCATGGATACAATTAAATGGATTGTTGCGTTATGTGATCACTTTAAAAGATATGCAGTCGTTACGTCAGCCCTTTTTATGTAAAGGTCCACGCACTTCCTGTGAGCAGTACGCATCTGACAGGACGAATGTGAGCACTTTGAAACAGTTTTGACTGATCAGCTAGAGCTTTTATCCCCTGTGTAAGTGGACAAATGACACCCACGCAGAGCGACACTGAATGGAAAATCTACGCAGCTCAGTATCTCCTGGGTCCTGAAAATGTCCTATGCCTTTTGAGAACTGCATACACGCGCTCTCTCTCACATGCACACGCACATACATGCACACACCTTTAATATTCGTCACATTTGACGGGTACGTTGTAACTTCACTGTCCGCTGTCGTGGAGGAAACAAAATTATATGAGAAACATTCATTGCAAGCCAGGACATTTAAATTAGTTATGCATTCATTCACGACAAAAAAGCAGGTGTTAAGATGTTTGTAAGCGGCATATAAACATGTAATGGTTTATAACACATTAATGTTAAAGGTGGGTTGAAGTGGATGCTGTTGTATTTATTATGATAAAAAATGATGTCTCCATACTAACAGAGGAAGTTGTTGACAAATATAGATTACCCAATGAAAAGTAAAGTGCATTTTATCTGTGTACTACTGTACTGCTACATTTTAGTGTATTATACAGCATTTATTAAATGTTTGTATACTGCTCAAAAAAAGTTATACAAAAGACTTAAAGTCAGAAATTACCAGTTTTATAAGCCAGAAGTGATACTTACAAACATTTACTTCTGTTCCATTGCTGTGAATTTCTGTTAAACTGGGAATCTCTGTTGTGACTTTGCAAAAGTACCATCCACTGTGGTTTGTATTAACGTTTGACAAAATGCAGGTCTTTCTTGAGTCTTGTTCAGTTTTGTTAGTAAAGATATTTTCACAGTCTGAAATTGACTTGTTGAAAACAAATCCAGATTTGCTGAAAAACCAGGAAATTCGATATCGCTCATATTTCTCAGTGTTCAAAAAGCAGTACAAAGCCAGGTCTGATCCAGATGGAACTCTCACTGTTCTTGTTTCATTCAGATATACAGCAGTTTGACCTGATATCACCATGGCTGTTGTTGCCACTGTAAATAGAAAAAAGAAGATATTTTACTTTTTGAATCATAAAATAGTTCATGTAGACAAAAACTACAGACAGGCAACTGAGTTTCGTCTTCAGGAAACATGCACTTTGCGTTTAGCATGACACTTTTTTTATTTGTACAACTGTGTGTAATCTTTTTTTATTCTGTTGAATATAAAGTCAGGAGTCTTACCTGTAAGTAGCATCAGAATCAACAGCCTCAGCGACATTTCCATCTTATCGTGTGAGCAGTGGTCTTCTAATCGTCAGTGTCATCCTGTCTTAGCAGCCTGCCTTTCTGCACATCTGACAAAGCCAGACGTAGAACTGGTGTGTGGGCGGTTGGGTTGGTGGGAGGGAGGAGTAGGGTTTTTTTTTTCTTTTTTTCTAATACTGCTCAGTGTCAGTCAGTTACTTTTACTATTGGAGATTTAGGCAGACACGGCAAATGAAGATGGAAACTGACGTAGGCTTTCTAAAGAAAGACAGAATTATTGACCAGACACACCAACTCATTTTTTATACCTAACAGTTTTAGTCACTAGAAATCAAACCTGACTACTACTCTTAGGCCTTTCTAAAAAAAAAAAAAAAAAAGTATACCCTGCATTGCTCTGCACCTTGTGAATTCCTCAGTGATATAAATGTACATTTGCTGACTTTCTTGCTGTCACCAAATATAAAAAACATGAGGATGATGTGAAGGGGTTGTGAAACCCCTGTGGGTTTTAAGTGCAAGGGTGCTAAAACTCTACTCGCCTCGTCTCCACACCGTCTTACTAGAAAAGTAACATCTGGCTTCCTGTGACAAGACACAACTAAGCAAAATGGCTTGATGAACTTTCTGATCCAGTCTCCAACCACAATCTTGACAAAAAGAAAGAGATTCAACTCATATATATTACATATATTAATTTTCTTGCATTGTTGTTTTATAAAGTGAACACAACAAAAGGCTTTAAGAACACAACAGTGTGGGTGGCATTTTGCATTCAGGTGTTTAAAGTGTAAAGCCGTGCTGCATTGATTTGCTCTGAAAACTAATCTTTAATTCACTAACAATATAGCAGGTGTCAGTGTATTATTTGTTCCTGACAGTGAAAGAAAGAAAAAAGGCCACAAGACGAGACATCTGAAGGTTGCAGGGGGTGTATAGCTTCTGAAACCTCAACCCTATGATCTTTTTTTTGTCTCTGAAAGTAGGTCCTGTTTGTAATGCAAGAAAAGAAAGAATCTTAAAATCATTTATTTAGTAGGACTCTGTGAACACAATACACTTCATCTTTTATGCTGTTATATATGAAATGATAATAAAATTCGGACCATTTTCTAATTACTGGCATGGTTTTTCATAAGAAACGCATGTCGATGCATAAAAGCAAAAGAAAAAGACAAAAATTACTGTAAAAAATGTTGCGCTTTGAAACAGCTGCGGGGTTGTTGTTTTTTTAATCAAACATAATGCAAATTTTACTTAGTATACTGATCAGAATCAAGAAACGTTACCAACATTTAGGTTTTAGGGGAGCGATACTTAAAAGGGTTTTTTTTTTCTTTCTATTTAGAGAACCAGCGCAGCTACGTTAGAGTGGGTCTTTTGTTTGCTGCTGAGCAGACAGGAAGCTGCATCTCTTAAGTTAGGAGTCTCTGTTGGTTATTTTAATTCCTTTGTTTTGAGTTACACTTATTGGCCAATGGTCGTTTCATTGTTGTTTTCCTTCATCAAAAGTATGCAAGTTTGCGGTCGCTGTGATGTGACCCATTCTGAGGACAGAAATAGAAAAGAAAGTTGTCCAAACGTGTCCAAACTAAAATTGTGAGTACAAAGGTCACATATGCTTTTATACTTTGTTTAAAAATCACGTCATCGCTTTTAACAGTTTTAAAGGTTATGAATAGTCTGTGACACAATACACATGCACAACACATAGTTATTTTCTTTATTTTTCTCATAAGGCAAAAGGCCAAGAGAAGAAGAGTTGTGGTAGGCCCTGGTCAAATAGACATACTCAAATACGTGCTCACATTTACACTTCTGGGCAATTTATAATCACTAGCTGACCTAACATGCATGTGTTTGAGAGGACGGTGGGGGAGCGAGAAAGTCAAAGCACCTGTAAGAACAAATGCAGACACAAAGAGAAAATGCAAACTTATATGAGCCGACAGTTAAATTCAAAGTCGGTGCTTTCTTACTGTGAGCTGATAGTGGTAACCACACAGCACTTTTAACAGAGGGGAGCCCAGTGGTGTGGAGGGAGGCATCTTGCATCTCTCATATCAAATTTTCAGTCTGAATTTAAATGAATAGAAAAAAGGCCAACATCAAGCTCTGATATGAAGTAGTGACATATATGATACAGTTACATCAAAACAAGTGCAATACTTGAGTAAAAGTTGTATTGATTTCATATTAAGCCTGCAAATATACTTACACCCAGTAGTTTTAAATATGCTGGCTCCAGTAGTTACAAACACCTTACATGCACTGAGCCATCGTCACCCTCATGACGTCATTGAAAGCTACATTTAGTTTCGGTAAACTCATTTTCCTGTGCACATATGTGCTAGAGCTGTACAATATGCACAAACTAAAGGAAAGAAAAGCACCTTGCTCTACATAATGATCTAAATGAAGACCCTCCCTCCGTCTGTGCATGCATTAAATATGCTGGTATATACATTATCGCACGTTGCCTACAAATATCATCATCACGTGTTTTTGTTGTTGTTTTTATTTTTTGCTCTGTCCAAGACATCTGACCCTATTACATACACAGTAACGTTATTGTATGACAATATGAAGTCTATAAAATCTTAAATGTTTGTTTTCCTTGGTTCTATAAATAATAATATCGCTCTTACAGACACTATATGATTTTATTTTTTTTAAATCCACAACATATGTGAAGAAGCTAATAGAGACCAGCACTACCACGGCTAGAGACCACAAGATCATCCAAATTCATAATATGGTTCACCATACTATTACCAACCATGCGCTCAGTTTTACATCTCAGATTAGAGATGCTGAATAAATAAATCAGTATTTAGGGAGATATAGG